GTGTAGAAGCATGCTCATGGTCACCCTAGTGTTGACCTACTGGACTCTGGCAATCCTTCCGCCTCAGCCTCCCAAGTAGCCGAAATTATAGGCGTGCACTACCATGCCTGGCTAAGTTTTTGATTTATTGTAGAGACGAGGTCTCACCATATTGCCCACGCTGGTCTTGAACCCATGGGCTCAGACCATCCTCTCGCCCTGGCTTCCCAAAGTGCTGGAATTACAGGCCTGAGCCATTGCACCTGGCTAGGAGGCCCTTTTTTTTTTTGAGTTGGAGTCTTACTCTGTCGCCCAGACTGGAGTGCAGTGGCCGCTCCTGGCCACCACAGCCTCGACCTGCTGGGCTCCGGCGATCCTTCCACCTCAGCCTTCCAAGTAGCCAGAATTGCAGGCATGCGCTACCATGCCCGGCTGATTTTTTGGTTTATTGTAGAGATGAGGTCTCGCTGCCCAGGCAGGTCTCGAACCCGTGGGCTCAGGCAATCCACTCACCTCAGCCTCCCAAAGGCACGGGATTACAGGCTGAGCCACCGAGCCCAGCCCCAGTTTTTAAAGAAGACAGAAAACACACAACAAAAATGAATATGAATACACACACACACACACACACAGACACACACACACAGCTGTGGCAATCTTTTTTTCATTGATGTCTTATATAGAACCCTAATGCTTAAAGCGCATAAAAAAGAGCCATTTGGTACAACCTACCTGCCACAATGGCCCCATAAGCATCTCCACAAAACACTAGGACTCTGGAACACAGTTTGAAAATCTCTCCAGTGGTTGGCAAACTTTTTTTTTGAGTAGGGGTCTCATTCTGTCATCCAGGCTGGAGTGCAGTGGCATGCTCATGGCTCATCACAGCCTCAACCTCTTGAACTCAGGTGATCCTTCTGCCTCAGCCTCTCGAGTAGCTGGGACTATAGGCAAGCACCACCACTCCTGGCTAATTTTTTTTTTTTTTAGTTTTTTGTAGCGATGAGGTCTCACTATGTTGCCTAGGCTTGTCTTGAACTCCTGGACTCAAGTGGTCCTCCCACCTCAGCCTCCCAAAATGCTGAGATTACAGGCATGAACTACTACACCCAGCCTGCAAACTTTTTCTCTAAAGGACCAGATAATGAATATTTTTGGTTTTGTGGGCCATGCGGTTTCAGTTGCAAGTCTATCTGCTCACCTCTGCCATTGTTACTAGAAAGCAGCCATAGACAATATATAAATCAATGGACATGGCTGGATTTGGCCTGCTACTGACCATTTTGGTATTCTGACTCCTGAAACCCTCTTCGTGTTTTTTAAACAAATGGGGACTCTACAGCTGAGAACAGGGAAGCAAGTTACCTTTCATAACAAAGCTAGGGCTAGAACCCAAGTTGCCTGATTACCACCTTGTTTCTTTACCTTTTATTGTGCTGTCAGATAGAAATATCTGACATGTATATCACTGTATATCAGGGAAAGAGAGAGAAATAGCTCTGCCTAAGGGTCTCTTTAATTAAACAATGCCTTTAATCCTAGGTAAAATATTTCTTTCTCGTAAACTTGAGGTGCCCCCTAAGCTGTGTCATTTGAGAAAATATGATGTCCTTGCAGCTACTCAGTGGTTGCTTCTAATTGTATCTCCCATAAATGGCTTTGCCCTATAAAGATATATGCAGCTTAACAGCATGAAGTGTTTGAGGTCTAGTTTTATATGTCTTCCTGTGGGAAAATGGTTATATTTTTATTTTTTTTATTAGACATTGATGTGATCATTAAAGTTCCTGAGAGAATGAGAACCATGTCAAGGATATCTGGAGTGAGTGTTCAGAGTTGACAGGACTGAAACATGTATGACTTGGTATTAATTTTTCTAAAAAAGAACAAATAAGCTGAGTACTTTTTGTACCAGATACTCTACTAAACACTTAATGTTCTCATTTGATCCTTATAGAGGTACATTGTGATTCATCATGATGAAGGTAAAAGTGAGGAACATAATATCCAGGGTAGTAATGGAATTAATGAACTGTATAGATCTTTGTTCCTTTCTACATGTAGATGGAATCTAGAAAACATAGAATATGTAACTTATGTAACTTAGAAGATTACTGGCTTTGTGATTGCATATGTAAAGTCTTGCATTGGTTGCATCCAAGAGGTGTCATTTGCTACCTCAGTTGATCTAGAAAGTAAGCATTTCCTGGGTGATCACAGTGTTCATGGATTAGCTGCACTCTTTCTCCTTTTAAAGAAGCTGGGAGAATTATGCCAGCCACTGTGGCCCTGGTACCTTTGAAAAACCATCCTATTGGCAAACCAGAATGGGATTTTTTTTTTTTTTTGGCCTGCTTTGTGGAATTTGTCTGATCTGCATGCCTATTTTCAGCCAATTTGGAGAACTCCCTTGACCTTTATTGCTTTTCTCCTCCAGAGGGTTGGCTCAGTGACTTCTATTACTGGGATTGCTTTTGCTAGGATATTTAGATTTCCTTTCTCAAGAAAGGCAGTGCATGGAAAAATCTACATGGCCTTGTACTGCTTATTTTTCGGTTTTCTGAGCTTATATTGCAGTACTTTACCATCAGGGCAAGAACGGCATGCTATCTAAGTTTAATTGCCTTTAAGTATAACTGCTGTAAGCCTTAGTAATTATAGTTAACATTTCCTGCATTAGCACTGCACTGCTCCCTTGGGGTTTTCAGAGCGAGTCACAAATAAATGCATTCAACTTTAAATAGCTCATGAGGATTATAGAACCCAAAAGGTGAAGGATAGAAGATGTTTCCTTCTTTCTTTCCAGTTTTTCAAAGCTTAGCAAATAGGAGGGCAGAGGCATTTATGACTTTAAAGTTTTGGTTGCCCTAGTCAGTGTCATTACAAATAGTCACATACCCCGGGAAGAAAGGTTTAAGCTTATTGAGAGAAATAGTATGTTGATTGTTTGTTTGTTTTATTTCCTAGAAAAAGATCTAATAGATAGAAAAATCTAGGCTTTGAACTCACCTCAACTACTTTACACAGCTAGATTGAACTAGGCCTGGGATGAAAGGAAATGCCAAGAAAGTACAGAAAAAGTTGAAAAAGTTTTTGTTTTCCAGTTACCTAGGCAAAGCATACCACAGGCCTGGTAGGGAAATACAAGATAGGTTTCTGCCTAGAAAAAGTTCAGTAATTCTAATTTGAGGAGGGAGACAGTTGTTGAAAGACAAGGAAAGTTTCCCCACCAGTACATACCAGTGCTACCTGACTGGAAATTCTAGAGAGCAGCGATTTGGCCTCATTACCATGAAGGAGTTACCTGGTTTCTGCAGTGGAGAGTCAGATTGGTCCTGCCAGCTTGGCCTTCCCTAAATGGCAGCACCAGTAAAGTGGGTCACTTGTTACATTGCAGTTATCTACCTAGGTAACTCAAGAGCTTGGGGATTGTTGAAAAGTCAGAGCTTGATTCCTGATTTTTTTGACCAGGTTATCAGTAATATTTTCAGATATTAGTCTCAGCAGTGAAGGTATCCCTAACCTGTTTCCATCAGAAGGTTAATAACAGCTGTGATCCACATGAAATAGTTTCTGCTTATAAAAATGAATCTGTGGGTTGATTTATTAGCTCTGAGGGTGCCCCACAAGTATTATGAGAAGAATAATCTGCATATTTGCTAACAAGGTGGTAAGGCTGTATTTTCTTCTATCTTCTTTAGTGCTGAGAGTATGTATGTCTTCTTTAAAGAGCTCTGAGATATATTCCGCATTCTTTTATTCTCTTAAAGCCAGGATTTGGCTTACAAGTTATTTGGGGTACAAAGAACTCATATTCTTATTCCCAACCTGCTTTTGGATATGGCTTATAGGCTTGCTAAAGGGATGAATCATGTTTCATTCAGTCTTTTTTTTTTTTTGGTGAGTCATCGTTCTTACTCTGTTGCCCAGGCTAGAGTGCAGTGGCATGCTCACAGTCACCAAAGCCTCAACATGCTGGGCTCAAGTGATCCTTCTGCCTCAGCCTTCCAAGGAGCTGGAACTACAGGCACACGCCACCACACCTGGCTGATTTTTTGATTTATTGTAGAGATGACGTCTTGCCAAGTTGCTCAGGCTGCTCTTGAACACCTGGGCTCAGGCAATCCTCTCACCTCTGCTTCCCAAACTGCTGGGAATACAGCCATGAGCCACCATGCCCCCTAGTCTTACTTTTGACTCATTTAGTTTGAGTCTTTAAGGATTCTGAAGGTTCCAGAATAAAAGTTGAGAGACTACAGCTCAAGGTCACCAACTCAGGCTTGTGGTAGAAGTCACAAATACCTGTGGTCTTTTAAATAAAAAAACTAGCAAGGCAGTGCTGGGCAGTGTGGAGACTAAAGACTTTTGAACCACTGCATGACTACTTTACTTCTAAGAAGTAGAAACTTTCCAGGACAGCAGTGATGTTTTTTTATTGGGTGATTACCAGGACCACAGACGTCAAAAAGACAATTCTGGCCTCCTAATACCTTCAACAGTTGACTACACTTTTTCTCCCACTTGGAGAGGAGACAGCTACATAAAAGGGGATAGGCTTCCTTTCTATACCAAATCAAACCTTTCTCCCTGAAGATCCCTTCCTTTTTAAAGCATTTCTCTACTGTAATAATTAGAATAAGATACACCCTCCCCCGAATATTCCAGATTAGAGTGAAGAAGACTAGAGGTGAGGATGTGCTTATGTGGAAAACCTGAAAAAACTTGCCATCTAAGATCAATGGTACCTATGGGAGCAGACTTGGGGAATAACATAGGGATAAGGAAGGAGGAAGAGATTAATAAGGTACTTTGCATTTGTATCCCTCTTCAGATTCTCTGTATATGCAGTACAAGGTAGCCTGCTACTTATCATGAAGGACTTTCTCACCATTCCTTCCTTTTTGGAGGTGTATTCTAAAATAGGATGAGATCTAAACTCAAGGCTGGATTTAGGGGCTGTGTAACTGACCATGTTGTTCTTTTTCCTTCTGTCTTGCAAATCTCCCAACCTGGATTTCCAGCTGAAAAAGAAGCAAGTGTACGTTGACAAGGTGGAGAAGATGCAGCAGGCCCTTGTCCAGCTCCAGGCAGCATGTGAAAAACGTGAGCAGCTGGAGCACCGTCTGCGGACACGGCTGGAGAGGGAACTGGAATCCCTCAGAATCCAGCAGGTATGCAGAACTTGAGGGAATAAAGGCAAAAAAGAAAGCAAATGAGGTTATTCCTGGTTGCTTGTTTTCCTCCTGGCATTTGACATAAACACCAAAAGCACACGTTTGCTTCTCTTTACATATTGTGCTTCACTTGATCTTACTCCTGATAGCCTCTCAACTGGAAATATGAAATCTGTTTCCTAAGTTTCATAGTTCAGATACATCCTATAAGCACCTTTTATTTGCACATGAACCCCAGAAATAGTAGACACTATAAGGAGTAAAGCTGCTATACAAATAGACAACTTCATGTTTTAGAACTGTAAATGGTCTTTATAAATTATCTGTCACAGCACTCCTCAGTTTTAGATGAGGAAAAAAATCAAGATCCAGGAAAGAGTGCATGAGTCACTAAAGATGGCCACAAGTTAGGGGCAAGATAGGAACTAAATCCTAGATTTTTAAAATTTCTGTTTCTGTCGTGTACCATACTGGCAGGCAGGAACGTCAGTTTTTAACTCATTGATCCACTTTCTGAGCAGCATGACAATTTGATATGCCAGGCTCTTTTCCTGACCAAGGGAATCTTACATTCAAGCCCAAGATAGGAAGTCCTGTGGCCTTAGAAGGAAATCTGAATTATCCCTGCTTCTTTCTGACTCAGAATCTAAACAGAATTAGGTTGAGTAGTGATCCTTTCCAAGAATAGGGGCTCTCCAGTGGCACTCAGGTACCATGGTTCTTCTTTAACTAACCTGAGGGGTCTTGGTATTTGCCCCCACAGCGGCAGGGTAGCTCTCAGCCCACTAACGTTTCGGAATATAATGCTGCTGCACTGATGGAGCTCCTTCGGGAGAAGGAGGAGAGGATCTTGGCCCTGGAAGCTGATATGACAAAGTGGGAGCAGAAGTATTTGGAGGAGAATGTGATGAGACATTTTGCTCTAGATGCCGCTGCAACCGTGGCTGCTCAGAGGTAAGTAGTTAGCTGACAAGGCCATTACTTGAAGGGTGTGAGTGGGAGGAACTGAAAGGTCACTGATTCATAGATCTTCCAGTGTTTTATTTTCTTTAATAGTCTGTTTCCTCAATTGCTGCTTAAGCATGTTTTTGTTTTTTTGTTTTAATCTGGTTATGCAGGGACTGAATGACTGTGGGGACAGAGGATTAGGGATTTTAAAATGAAATTTGCTGTATGAGCATAGTAGAATCATAGTTTGGCTTTCCTCAGGAGCCAGAACAATGGCTGATGGGATCAGAAGAATGTCTGCACACATCCTTCACCAGAGCCACAGGTTCTTTCAGGCACACCTGCAGGTTGTTTAGCCCCAAGACTGGAGTGAGAACGTCTCCAGAGAAATGCCACTCAGAAACTAAATGTCACTCAGGAGTGGCTGCTGCCATTTGATAGCTCTCGCTTGTCCAAGGTATATCAAAGGCTGTGCTGAACATGAATCCATTCCTGCCCTTTGAGAAGGTCTATATTTGAAGGTTGCATTATCTGTGTGCTGCATGAGCTCATCACATATAAGCAGTCACATTCCATCTAGTAGAGAGAGAGTGACAGGAGGATATTTTATATTTTGCTACTTATTTGTTCCTGTTTTTATATTATAAGAATAATTATTGTCTTTTGAAGGAAATAATTGCTTTTATTCTGGTTGTTTATCTTGCTGATATTCATAATCATCAGTTGGGAAAGAAAGAAAGGGAAAAAAGAAACAACAACAAAAACTAAATTCAGATCAGGCAATGACTTGGGTTGTGGTGGTAACAGACAGATCCTTGGTCTGGAATGGGGTATCTATGGCTGGCTATAGCATATTGCACCCAGGTAGGTCTCTATCCTGAAAGTTACTAAAAACCACAGTATTGTTTTTGACATTCTCCTAAATGTGGTAAACTGGCAGAGTCTGAAGCGCTTGCCAGACTTTGGGTTGGAATATGTGTGTGAGGGGGTGGTGAATACATTTATTTTTGAGTCTTTCTGTTGCCAAATCAGAGGTGGGAAGGGCCAATGCTTTAAAAGCTGAACTAGTGCTTTATAAACCTGCTCTGATTCTCTAAGAAGCCATCTTACATCTCTCGTCTTACACCTGTCTCCAGATGTTCCCTATACCTTAAATATATTGAAGCTGCCTGTAGCTTGATTCTGAGGTCCTCGTTGGCTTAAGTCTACCTGGCCTTGTTTCCTGAGCAAAACATGCCCAATATAAAATGCACAGAAACTTCAGCTGTGCCAGAACACGAGCTCAAGGTTTGTAGACAGTTTAGGAGCAAAATTAATTGTAATTTTACCTGCTGGCTCCCAAAGAAACACCTGTGTCCATGACTTGTTCAGAGGTTATTCATGAAACCCTAACACTGAAAATACGTCACTAGGAGGTGGGGAGTTGCAGGGTAATTTTGTCATCTCTGGGCAGAAGCTTAGAATGATACAGCACACAAGTGTTTGCAGTGTGAGAAAATACTAGAAAGCTAGGGTTCTTGGTGCTGACTTCAGAATAGACTCCAGGTCTAAGTGCAATAAAGCAAAGGGGTTGTCACTAGGGAGTCTTCTATAAACTACTATCCTTTTTCCTTTCCTCCCTTTAAAGCTTTGAGTCCCCGGGGAGCCCACTTCCAGATGGATTTTTATAATCTTTTGGCTCCCATAATGTAGACTTAATTTAAATAGAATACATGTAATTCATCAGGTATAAAGTTTTCATCTAATCCTATTTTTTTGGCAAAATGTGCATGCTTATTAGTTAATATGATAAAACACAGCCAGTTCATACCTAGAAGGAATATCTTCTGAGAGTTCCACGGGTGAACATTCTGGATCAGAACTGTATGTCTTTCTTGCATGCTACTAATCCAATCCACAGGACCGATTGAGAGATAAACTATATTCACGGTTTTGTAAAATAAGATAATTGAACTAAGCGATTCCTCCCAGATCCTTCTATTCCTAGAATTATACTACATTCCCAAAGGTAGTTAGTGCCTCTTTGGTTCTGCCATGGAGATTTCTTTTGCTTCTTTTCTTTCTTCGTGAGATTTTAAATTTGGGAAGAAATGCTCAGAAAACTTTACTTTTAAACTTGTCAGCTCTTCTGCTTTTCTTTCCAACATTTCTTCTCATTCTTTTTGTCTGCTTGTTTTCCTTTTCCTCTTCTCTATCTTAAATGTTGGCATGACCAAAGTTCTGCCCTTTGCCTTATTCTGTGGTAAAAAAGTTTTATATATTTTTAAAAATAATTGCTCTTTTATTGAGTTGGGGTCTCACTCTGTCGCCAAGGCTGGAGTACAGTAGCATGATCATGGCTCACCACAGCCTCAACCTGGGCTCAGGCATTCCTTCCACCTCAGCCTTCCAAGTAGCTGGGACTACAGATGCGTACCACCATGCCCAGCTAATTTTTGTATTTTTTGTAAAGATGAAGTCTCACTATGTTGCCCAGGCTGATCTTGAACTCCTGGGTTCAAGCAATCCTCCTGCCTCAGCCTCCCAAAGTTCTGGGATTATAGGCATGAGCCACTGGCCTTTCTTTTTTAAAGTAATTTTTAAGTACTAGTATATAAGCTGCAGATGGAAAGTACTCAAAATATATTTGAGGAAGGAAGAAAAAAAAGGAAGGATAAAGGAAGATGTGACAGCAGGAAGGGCAAGATTTCTAAATATATAACTAAAGCCAGGCTAGGTGGCTCAGCCTGTAATCCCGTGCCTTTGGGACGCTGAGGTGAGTGGATTGCCTGAGCCCACGGGTTTGAGACCCACTTGGGCAACTTGGCGAGACCTCATCTCTACAATAAATCAAAAATCAGCCAGGCGTGGTAGTGCACGCCTGTAGTTCCGGCTACTTGGAAGGCTGAGGTGGAATGATCGCCGGAACCCAGCAGGTCGAGGCTGCGGTGGCCAGGAGCGGCCACTGCACTCCAGTCTGGGTGACAGAATGAGACTCCAACTCAAAAAATAAAATAAAATAAAAAACTTAAATTCCTAAATTTAGTGCCACATTTTAATGACCTTCTTGGTTTCTATGTATTCTGCTAGGATCAAACTTAATATATTCTAAACCTAATAGCGCATAGGTGAATGACAGGTTTCAAAATTAGGACATCTTGCTTAGATAGTATCAGTGGCAGTTGTAGAAGACAGATATTTTTTCAATTAAGGTATCAGTTACACATTTAAAAATCACCTGTTTAAAGTGTATTGTTTGTGGATTGCCTGAGCCCATGGGTTCGAGACCCGCTTGGGCAACTTTGCGAGACCTCATCTCTACAATAAATCAAAAACTAGCCGGGCGTGATAGCGTGCACCTGTAGTTCCAGCTACTTGGAAGGCTGAGGCGGAAGGTTCGCCGGAGCCCAGCAGGTCGAGGCTGCGGTGGCTGGGAGCAGCCACTGCACTCCAGTCTGGGCGATGGAGTGAGACTCCAACTCAAAAATAATTAATTAATTAATTTAAAAAAATAATAAAGTGTATCATTTGGTGCGTGTTGGTAATTTTATGCAATATTGTAGCCACTACCACAATCACCATAGAGGACATGTTCTATAGTGTTCTTGTGCCCCTGGAACTTGGTCCTTTCCTCCCCCACTTGGTCCCAGCAAATAACCGATCTGCTTTTTTGTCATAAAACTGTAATTTATTTTCTAGAATAGCATATAAAAGCAATAATATTGTGTTTACTTTTTTATGCTCAGAATAATGATTTTGAGATTCATCCAAGTTGATGCATATATTAATAGTTAATTCCTTTTTATTGCTGAGTAATGGTATGAATGTACTACAATTTTATATATCCATTCACCTGATGGTAGGCGTTTGAATTGTTTCCAGTTTTGGGCCATTGTAAATAATAAAATACAGATTTTAATATAAGAATAAGCAAGTGTTTTGTCTCAGGTGAGAAGATATATATTAGGTGGTCTATTTATTCCCCTCTAACACTTTGATGTTATGAAACACTTGTTGACAAAAGGAATGCTGTCAATGCAATGATTTCAGACAAGATCAAGGTACGAAAACTAGGTGTTTAGCCATAGAGTGTCCAGGAAGAGGCATTTTAATACATATGGAAAGTGCTGGTATTGCCATTTTTTCTGAGATGCACCTAGACATCAGATATAGCAACTCTGATATTGGTCAGTTGTACACATAGGTCAGTTTTACCTGATGAAAAGTTAAGAGGGCCCAGAAAAAGGGGGAAAGAGAGAAAATGTTAATGATTTTGGGAGTATACTTAAAATGAATATTTGATACCTAAAATATTTGTCTTGTTCAAAGGGCTAACAGGAAATTTATTTATTTTAGTAATCAAACATGTGTTGTGTTTACTATACAAAGTGTTCTTCTAAGAAATTTGCACTTACTACTACTTATCCCTGTAACAATACTCTGAAGTAAATACTATTGTTCATTTTCCAGAGCAGGAGACTGAGACATAGAGGGATTAAATAATTTGCCCATGATCACACACAGCCACTAAATGACAGAAACCTAGAATTTAAATCGACATTTTTGTCACCATTGCTGCTATACTCTGCTGTTTTCTAGATATGGTGTAGCTCAAAGATGGTGAAATAGGGATAATTAGCTGTTCAATAAGATACTATTTGAGGCTTATTATTTAGTCACCTGAAAATATTATGAATAATCTTAATAATATGGCCTGATTAAGGCTCCTTATTATTGTGTCTCTAGAGAGTCCTCTGTAGATGCTTAATATAGATGAAGTGAAATTACTACCGAATAGGAGTCCCTGTTCATTCCCGGAAGACCCAATTTGGCAACACACATTTTTAGTTTCAGCTCACGAATGGTGAATTTATTTCTGAACAACAGCAAACGGATAACAATAAAACGCATCTGTAATTTTTCAGTTTGCATTTACTAAATCAGGTTGTTACCTTTCTCAGAACGTAAAATGTTTCATGTTTATTTTGGGTGAAGTAAATCCCAGAAAGGAGGAAGTAAAGAAAGGAAAAGCAGAAGGTTGATGCTATCCATACCTGTCACACGTTTATCTTCTTCCCTATTGTAGGCATTTCTCAGTTTCCATTCTCTGCCTTCTTCTCATTCTACCTTCTTTCTTAGTTATATTGTTCTCTGCTGTAGTTTCTCTGTAATAATAGCAATGATAATAACTGTAATAATAACTCTAGCATCTTGAAGATTAAAATTAGAATTTCCAACAATTTCTTAGATATTATTGTATGGCTGTTCTTAAGATACTTTCAGTCCAGTGTACCTAAAATCAAAACTCTTTACAGCACTTTCCAGAAAACCTTTCCTGGGGTTCTTTTCACAACAAACCTTATACCATATTTCCTAGGCATTGAGTTAGTAGTAACAATCTTCTCATTCATTCTTCCCTTTCCCTAAGACCCACATTGATGTAGTCCCCAAGTTCTATCAATTCTGCCTTCTATAGCCTGTTTCCATTTCCCTTGAGACTTCACCTGTTCATTTTTTCATGATCTCTTTCTGGGATCATTACAATCACCTCACCGGCTAGTCTGCCTGATTCTAGTGTATTTCTCCTCTGATCCTGCCATCACATTTCTGCAAAAGATAATGCTGTCTTCCTAAACAATGGCTCAAATCATTTCATTCCCCTCAGAAGGCTCTAATAATTTTCAGTGCCTGTTGGAATAAAGTCCAAACTGACTCCTGTACTAGTTAATTATTTACTTCCCTTGCAAGTTTCCTGCAGTCAGGTAGTACTCTTATCCATGTCTCTCTCCTCTTCAGGCTCCCGGGAACTTCAAACACAGGGCTCCACTTAGGTAGAGTTCACATATTAAATAAACAAAAGCATGCTATTGATAGGGAAAAATGACCTTGAAGTTTAAAAGGCCACTAGATGTTTTATTTAGGAGCTTAATGGCGACGTTTTAATGAACAGTTTGAGCAATGTGATGGGATTAACTTTGTTGGAGAAAGGAAACAAAGTAACAAACTGTTTTTAAGAATTTGAGATGGAAGATACCAAGTTCAGAGATACACGGTTTGGGGTTTGCAAGTTTTGTTTTTTTATTGTAACCCAACATTTCTCTTCTGATGTTAAGGATAGTCCCAGAGTATTAGAAGGTAGCAGGTCAAATTGCTCCTTCAAATGTTGTGCTTGTTTCTTTTGCCTCAGCCCCACTCTTCTAGAAGGAAGATTGATGCTGAGGCCTGTCCTGGCAGCCCTGTAGAATTCACTAAGTGCCCCACATTTTCAGGCTCCATTCCTGAGGAGTTCACAGTGTCCATATCAATTAGCTGGCGGAGCTCTGAGTCCCCAAAATGGTCTTTTATGCAATGAAAGTGGCAGCAGGCCAGCACTAGTTCCCCCAGTGACAAACCGTACGCTCAAGTCCCCAGTGTCCATAGACACCATGCACTTTTCAAGAGGCCTGGCTCTAAAGCCCCAGCCGTCACATTGGAACTCTGCAGTGTAGGAATTGCCTCCAAGAGTATACCAAGAGCTGGAATTCTTTCAAATCATAATCTCTTGTATGTTAGTATCCTTTTACCTATGTGGTTCTCTCTTAATAGTAGCTTTATCAAGTGCCTTTACTGTGCCTGACACTATGTTTTTACATATATAATTTTATTCTATCTTCTGTGAGATGAAGGTACAATTACTGTTCCCATTTGGCATATGAGGAGGCCGACTTAGAGCATGTAATTGACTTTCTGAGGTCACAGAGCTTGTTAGTGGCAGAGTACTTGGGAAAGCTAGGCCTTAAACCCCATGTTGTCTGTAGTCAGAGCCTGTGCTCAGAGCCCTACATAAATGCTGCTTCCTTTGGGTACCCAGTAGGACTATAAGCAAGTAAATTACAGTAGAGAAAGTATAGAATTCTGAGATGGTAAAATAGTTAGAATTGAGCAAATGATGAGAGCCATTGTATTCTTTCCCCTTCTTGCTCTCCGATTATTTCATCATTACCATAAATGGTTTCAACCTTGCATATGAGGGGCAAGCATTTTGAGAAACAGGTGTTTACAGAGACTCACCAAAATACCTTGGTCTTAACATTAACTTTCTGCTTCTTTATTCTCTTGCCATCTCACCCCCATCTGCACTGGTCACAATCTCAAAGCTAAGAGAAAATAGCTAGCTGCCAGCAGAAAATATGCCTGGAGTTCTCCCACAGATCCTCATTTTCTTAGGAAGTATAATGAAGCAGTGCCAGTTCATTGTTTTCTTAGCCTATTGTTTGATTTCCTTTAAGACCAATATAATTACATCAGTATTCTCCCTGATCCTGATACTCCCTCCTCTCTCTCTCTCTCTCTCTCTCTCTCTCTCGCACATACACATGCACACGGTTTTTGTTATTAGTTGGTCTTTGAGTTAATGGTCTGAGACACTTTCAGATGGAACATGATAGTCCTTTATGCAACTGGGACTCTGGCAAGAGAACAGTCACTTCATTAGGATAGACTCATCGATTTGGTGCTCGAATGTTTCAGATATAAATTAGATTGGAATCCAGTGGGACTGACTCAGATGCCCTGCTTGTTAGCTCACATGCCGTACCTGATCTTACCTGTTGACATGTTTATTGCTTGTTTCTAGCACTCAGATGTAGTTAAAATAGTCATCTGTAGCAATAAGCTACTTAGTATACCTTCTGACTTCCTTTCAGAGTCTAACCTTTCCCCCTTGATGAGTGTCCTAAGAATAAAATGGAAATGTATATTTATTCCTTTTGCTTGGCCATAATCTAAAAACTTGAAGGGACTGTCTGCTGGAAGGTTTTTGGAGGTTGTCCAGTTTTGAAGGCAAACCTGTGCATATCTCAAAAAAATCTCTGACTTTTGCATCCATGTTGATACTAATAGCCTATTCTTCTACCCTGAAGGCAGAACCTTTTTGTCTTCAAGGCTTTTACCAGTTATTCACCCAAAAACCAACCATTCGAATAAGACTGATTTCTACTTAGGACCTCTCAGAAAAGACTCTTAACAGGAAGATAGCATCCATTGATTTTGCTGTTCTCATATCATCATCACTTATTATTTCCTTCCCAGAGACACGACAGTCATCAGCCACTCTCCTAACACCAGCTATGACACAGCTCTGGAAGCTCGCATCCAGAAGGAGGAGGAAGAAATCTTGATGGCCAACAAGCGTTGCCTTGACATGGAGAGCAGGTAAAATGTTAATCTAAACCCTGATGGATTTGAGAAGTTGCTCTAGAGACCAGATAGGTCAGAAGGAAAGAGCAGATATCTTTATTCACAAGGAAACCTGATCATGCAACTTACCCACCACCATCACCCCTGCCGGCCTGTCACTTAGAGTGTGAGATGCAATGACCTTCACCGTGATCATTCTCATTACCATGGAACTAATTCCAAGTAGGGTTGCTGTCCTCCTGTGTTTTCTAATTGTCCTTTCCATCTGTCCTTTGCCGGAGCTGAATTGTTGGCATCTGCACTCAGGAGTATTTCTTTTAGCACTGCACCTCACCCCTGTGATACAGCAGATTGCTCAGTAAAAGAACATCCACTCAAATGGGGAGGTAGGGCACCTGATGCCTCTTATAAATTCATGTACTTATTATCTGGAGTTTGTGGCTGATTCATGGACCATCTCATCTTCTCATTGAACACATTCTTTCTGTTGAGTCAAATTCTTCACTGCAGTACACTACATTCTCTCATATTAAACCTTTCTTTCCATCAGTACTTAACTGTTACCTCCTAAGATGTAAACAAAAGTTACTGGATGCTCTGCTGTGTTCATTTGGGTGTGCAGAAAGACGTTAAAAAAAACTGTAGCACACCATCCTTTGCCTTCCATCTTGGGACTTAACTAGACCATCGTTAGTCTCAAGGATAATGGGAGCTCAAGTCCATGTAGTCAGTGAGACTAAAACACAGAAGCAGCAATAAGGTCATTGTGTGTTGTCTTTGGCTCCTAGGATTAAGACCCTTCATGCACAGATTATTGAGAAGGATGCCATGATCAAAGTACTCCAGCAGCGTTCACGGAAGGAACCGAGTAAGACGGAGCAGCTGTCTTCCATGCGGCCAGCAAAGTCACTGATGTCAATTTCCAATACTGGGGCAGGTTTGCTCTCCCATTCATCCACCCTGACTGGCACCCCCATCATGGAAGAGAAGAGGGATGACAAGAGCTGGAAGGGGAGCCTAGGTAATGACAGTAAATAAGGAAAATTACAGTCACATGTTGATAGACAGCCATGAGATAAGCACCCTTGCAGTGAGGAAAAGGGAAGATAGTCGAGGTTTTAAAGAGGAAGACGTACCAGGTTGATTTTTTTCACTTTTGAGAGTATAGATGCATATTCAGGAGTCCTTCCACACTGTGAAGTCTCATGGGGAGGACATTGATTGACGCCAAGGCCTGAGAGGATAAGAATTCTGGATTCTATTTGGGTAGGAAGGGAGATAACTTCAATTTCCTTTCAAAATTTATCAGATTTGACCTTTGTCATGTGGGATTGTGTCTTGTCCAAAGCCCATGTGACCTTTGTATCATTCAAAATTCCAGTATTTCTATGTTCTTTCCTCCTGTACAATGGGAGAACCCAAAGTTCTAGTTAAGCTAAATACAGCTGGGTGGCAGGTTTTTTTTGTTTTTTTTTTTGTTTTTTTTTTTGTTTTTACCAGAATGCTCTGAGGACAGAATGTACTTTTTAATTCCATTCCTGTCCATTTTTCCCCCTCTAATAAAAATCCCACAGGGCACATTTTTAGAGCCTGAGGGAGCAAGCTATATTTATTTATTTATTTATTTATTTATTTATTTCAGCTTTTTTTGTTGTTTTTAATTCATTTCTTGGTCCGCTGACACTTGAAGTATCTTTTGGTTAGGGTAAGCATTTTGGGGACCATGGTCATTGTCAGAATCCCAGATCACAAAGTTACCACTACACTCATCTGTGTCAACAGACTTCATCCAATCCTTTCCCATTCTCTGGTGATGTGTGGTGATGATGTGTAAGTGGAGCCTGCGTAGAAGAATTCTGACAAATCAGTGGAACTCACCATTGGAAAAATTAATCAAAAGACACCCAGGACACTTAAAGTTTCATACATTGTGCTGGGAGCCACATAATGAGGATCAGAAAGGATCTTCCAAGTATGAAAGAAACTTTTAGGCATAGTGGGAAGTACCTGACAAATGGATCCCTAGGTTCACTAGAGGCAAAAAATAAAGAATTTAGACACATTATATTACAATTTCTCTTAAACTCCTACAAGGGAGAAGAGGTAAACAGATGTCTAGTCAATCCCTTTGGGTCCCCTCCCACTGAGGGAACTTTTCTGTCCTCTCAATAAATCCTGCTTAAAAAAAAAACCAGATGTCTGGATTTGCACAACCTATTGTTTTCTAACCTCTTTCCCTCTTTTATTTGTAGGTATTCTCCTGGGTGGAGACTACCGTACTGAGTATGTCCCTTCCACACCCTCACCTGTGCCACCCTCAACTCCCCTGCTCTCGGCTCACTCCAAGACAGGCAGCCGAGACTGCAGCACCCAAACTGAACGTGGAATGGAACCCAACAAAACTGTTGCTCCCATCTCTGTTCCTGCTCCAGTTGCTGCTGCTGCCACTGCTGCCACCATCACTGCCACCGCTGCCACCAACACTGCCGCCGCTGCCACCAACACCACTACCATGGTAGCTGCTGCTCCAGTTGCTGTTGCTGCTGCTCCAGCTGCTGCTGCTGCTGCCCCATCTCCAGCAACTGCTGCTGCTATTGCTGCTGCTGTCTGTCCAGCTACTGCTGTTCAGATTCCAGCTGCTGCCTCTGCTGCTGCTGTTGTTCCTCCCTCTCCTGCTGCTGCTGCTGCTGTTGCTGCTGCTGCTGCTGTTCAGGTTGCTCCAGCTGCTCCGGCTCCGGTTCCAGCTCCCGCTCCAGCTCCGGCTCCAGCAGCGGCTCAGGCTTCTGCTCCAACTCAGACTCAGGCACCAACTCCAGCTCCGGCTGTGGCTCCTACTCTGGTTCCAGCTCCAACTCCAGCTTTGGCTCAGGCTGAGGCTCCTGCAAGTCCAGCTACCAGTTCTGGACCACATCGTTCATCTATTTCAAGTTTGACCTGCAATCCAGAGAAGACAGGTAATAATTCCCTGCAGGCAGGTGGCTTTTGGTTCTGCCCTCAAATGCAGATTTATTTCTTAGTGCCTGCTGTTTGGGCAGAGTTGGTCATTTGGAGTGAGTTTTTCATGATCTAAAGAGGAGAGAAGAGAAGAGAGTCTGTAAATGATTTCTCATCCACCTATATGGGAACAGGCATGAGTAGAAGCCATTCTCCCAGCAGCAGTCAATGAGGGGGGCAGCAGGCAAATCTCACTTTGCGATTGGCTTCATGAGGGAGCCAGTGCTCTAGCTCTAGAAATATGGGGTTTTACCTTGTCCCTAAGCATTTACTAACCCCTTATTTCCATTTAGATGGCCCTGTTTTCCACTCCAATACTCTGGAAAGAAAAACTCCCATTCAGATCCTGGGACAGGAGCCTGATGCAGAGATGGTGGAATATCTCATCTAAATGGCCAGATCAAGAGCTGCAGTTTATCAGCAAGAATGCTTTTAATCATTTTCCCCTTTGGTTTGTTCTTATTTTGAGGGTGAGGACAAGGGTTGGGGGGAGGGCATCTTTTTTAAAGGGACAGCTTTTTATTGGAACAATGTACTACTTAAGTAATACCATGTGAACTCCAGTCTATTTTGGTATACTTAGGGAGTACCTTGAATGACAGATTAATCAGAATGTGCTCTAAGGTATGTTGTTTGGATTTATACAAATACTGGGACTGTCAACAGGTGGCTATACATCAATGTTTTTCAATGTGCTTAAATTTGTTTAAAATTTCCGTATTCCAGATCATGTTTTATTGAAGAGCACAGTATGTGTGGAAGACAGTGTGTAACATGTAGTTCAGAAGTGGGAAGCCAGAAAGAATTTGAGCGCGTGCTGCTTTGTATAGTTACTATCTAGCAAGCAGCCAGAGAAAGCTCTCGTCTCAGGCTTACGAAAGGGAATAGTTTTAGGAGCTATGTAAGCTGGAGAAAGGGTAGGGGGTATTGGGGTGTGGAAGGGTGCTGGAGCTTTTTTTCCTACCAATTTCTCAGCTGCCCTGCCCCAGGGGATTGTGTTTGTCTTCATTTCAGTGGTGCTTTGTGAGTGGATTCTTTTGGTTCCCTCTTGGAGGTTCATAATTCATACATATGCTCTGGAGTAATTTATTCATTTGGATAATTAATATATTGCTTTCAGATGCTAGGAGAGTAAATTAACTGAGTGATGCACAATTTCCTCTCTCTTAGGGAGTTAGGTCATCAGAGGCCTTGATGGAGAGTTACAGGAGGTACTATATGCAGATTTGTGGTCTGCATGTAGCAGTGGACACAGATCACTTGACTTTTGTAAGACCAATCAGCTTAGTGTTTATTTTTTTTACAGCACAGATTCACTAGCTGGGTTACTAGTCTCAAATTGCCAATCATTTGCAAAATGAGGAAGCATCTTTGTTGACAAATTGAATGCTTTGAATTTATGGTGACTACTTTGAAATAACTTGTTTTGTTTTCCCAAATTCTTAGCATATGTCTTAAAAGCATTTTTGACTATCACCTCCAAGGGAATAGCATCAGAGCCCAAAGTACTATGCTGTGGCCAGGGAAGAGGTTGATTGTAGCAGGATCCTCAACTACCTCTTCTTACTGCCAGTGATTCCATCTTGGAATACCTTTGGGAAGCAGCAGGAAATGTGCATGTAGATGGGGACCAAAAGAGGCAATTGCTCCAAGCTTTGCCGTAGGGCTGCCTCCAGTGACACAGAGGGATGCCAGTTGCCACAGGTCCCTGTCCTGTGTCACCTCTCTGCCCTTTATTAAGGTGACAAATTTGCAGATAGCATTATTAAGATCAGTTTTCAGGGGTATAGGGAAGGAGAGGGGAGTGGGAGGGTGTTAGGTAAGGGTGGGGGGAGTAGAGGTTTGGGGATGTGTTAGTTAGAAACCAGATTAATAGAAGAGTAGGCTTGATGTATTACATCATGAGCCATAGTGGCAGAAAGGAACTTTAACAATATAGCCCTACCCTTTCATTTTAGTGATGAGGAATTTGAGACCTGGAGAAGTCCTATGACTTTCTCAAGGTCACACAGCCCAACTGTCCATTTTGCCAGTTACCATGCTTATTTTGGGAAACCCTTATTTTTAAAAAGCCCATTTTATGAAAAATCATCTTCACATATTTTGTAAAATGTTTCTGACTTGAGTAGTTTGTCTTATCTTGACACACTACTGAATTTTTATCTTGCCTTTCCTTCAGTGCCTTGTATAAGGTTTTCACTTTTCTGATCGGCATTTTAAATGAATCACATGAAATGTCCCCCTAAGAAATCAATTTCACTTCTCTCTATGAGACTGGGTGTCTCAGATCATCTTACGGAGTTCCTCTGTGAGTATAGGAATTGTGTCTTTCTTAATTACCTTCCAAAGGAATTATTTTGTGTTTGTGTGTGTGTGTGTGTGTGTGTGTGTGTGTGTGTGCGCGTGTGTGTATGTAGAGACAAAAGGGAAGATGATGCAATTTTCAGCCAGTCTTTTTACATTTTCAATAATGAAGTGATCATTTTACATACACATTAGTCCTCATTTATAAAGTGAATCTCAGATAGATGTTAAAAGTGAAATTGTGTTAGAACTCATGTATACTACCTTTTAGTTAGGAGAAAAAACTCATATAGTAGAAACAGCAAATAGCAAACTTCAGAAGAGCTACTTTCTATCCAAATAAATAAATAAAAATAGATCTTTAATCTACTCCTTTAATGGATATAACACATTGCCAGAATTTTTGCTGGCTCTGGGAGTCATGATTTTAATCACATTCTGTAAGGTGACAAATATCATACATTCCACATTGTGTGGTAGCAGCCATCTCTTTAGACTCGTGTTTTGGGGAGAGGAAGACATTCTTAGGTAAGTACTATTTCAAACTTTCCAGAACATCTCTGTCTTCTTCTTACACCAGAGGCAGTCCCTCTCTGCTCCTTTTTCAATCTTAGGTAATTTGCTAAAATAACATTGTACATCTAAGAGAGGGAAGAAGATCATGTCAGTGTACTGTGCTTAGAGAGAAGATAGTTGCAGCCTTTTCAGAAGCTCTCTACTAGCTGTCATTTAAAAATTTTCAGGTTTCTGGGAGAAATCTTAAGTTAGCTACCTTTTCACAGTTTTGTGGATGTAACATTTGGGGGATGATCCTGGACTCCCACCTATCTATGCATTCTGCTGGCACCTCAGGACAGGAGGATGACCTTGTTGTCTTAATTTGTACTACCTGGTGGTCTCTGAGGACCTTCTAATTCAGTTGTACCCCAATGTCCCATGTACAGGAAAACTTCATTAGAACAAACTTCACTTGATATAAAACTCCTCTTAACAGTCTTTTTGGAAATTAAAGTAGCTTGAGCTTTCTTTTAGAATTATGTATCTTGATTGTTGACTTAATGAAGGATTTACTTTCAATGCTGCTTTTGAGCTTCAGGGTGACAGGACAGCAGGAACCTGAATTATCTGCCATAGGAAAGATACCCAAAGACCCGTCATGTTCTTTTTGTTGTTACACTGTTGGGTGGGTATAGCCATTGGAAAATGAACAAACTGATTGTACAAACTACTTTTTATGATGAGCCTAAACCCTCACAATGCGGCAGCTTAAAGTGTATACTTATGCACTAACTTTGATAAAGTATATTCTTATATCTGTTAGCCGTACAATCTCCTGTTATCTCAATTGCTCATTCACATGTGGAATATGTTACTTAAAATGTGTGCATTCTTACTGAAAATGTTGTCAACGGAAGGCATCAGCTGTGGGCTAATTGCCACCAACTTCAGCCTGCCATGATCCTTGGAAATATATCTTCCAAGTGCCATCCATCATCAGTAGAACAAGTGTTGGGAGTTTGTTTATTTTTTTCTAACAGCAACGATGGGTTACATGGAGCCATCAAACCTCCTTCTGGCCTCTCTTGTGATTAATGGCATGTGTTTGTAAAATGGATAGTTGGGGTTGGCAGATGGCTAGAGAAGAATCGCCTTTGGTTTAAAATGTATGTGGTCCCTAATGATTGTGACCCCATTCTGTAATCAACTGAGCTAGTTCCAATAAAGTTAAGCGGGTTTAAATCCACTTTGTGCCTATCTTTTCACTGACAATAAAGTTAGCTATTTTAAAATGCAATACCGTGTGGAAAATGCTTTGGTGTTTACCCGACAGAGGCTTTATTTGTGCTGTATCAGTGATTACTTTCAATTCAGTATGCAGTGAAATTGCCTTTCAAGGGCAGCATGCAGCAGAATTTGCATTTGCTTGAAGTATGGAATGTGATTATAGATTATAAAGCATTAAGACAACACCACAGGCCACATGCTCTAATCAGTCTCTTTATATACTCAGGCAGCATATATTAAAAGCTTTGCATCTTTTTATCTCCTGGGTCCTAGGGATAAAATGATGGCCACCCAAAGCAGAGGATTCATCCTCTGGTTAGCATTTTGGAAGGCCCCTTGATATTCCTTTTGTACCCTTGTTCTGATGCCAATTCATCAGTTTTGGTTGAGGGAGCTTGTTATTAAAAGCAAATCAAAACCACAAACAAGTTGGCTCTTCACTGAAAATGTTAAGGCTGCCTTTACACTGCCCTTTCTGTGCCTCCTGTTTACCAGGGTGTTCCAAACCTGACTCATGAGGCAAGGATCCCCAAGGACTTTGAAATGACGCGTTTTCACAGTGAAATAGACTTGAAGGGTGTTGTGAAAGGAATCAGGTGGGGATCTAGAATTCACTCAACTGTAAATTTGATTTTTTTTAAGTTGGGCTTTATTCCCTCCATATTTATGAGTGCTTTGAAACTATGGATTAAAGCCTTCCCTCTTTTTGGGGTAAAGAGGATGAAATTAAGTTAATCACAACTTCTGTCAAAGCTTTGCAAAGCATACTTTTCAGAAATATATTATGCACATTTCTTAACGAGTAGTTACTCGTGGGAAGAAAATGCATGTGCTCCTTCAAAAGTGTGAGATCACATTGTAGGAGCATCCTTAGATATTAACATGATCCAGTTTCATAACTGATCTGGTATCTGCGTGGTACTTCATCTCCCTTCCTGCGGACCTTTCCTCCTGAGATAAGCATTCTGCACAGCCTATATCAATTACATAGTTGCAGAAAAGATAGAGATGTTTCCCACCCCATCTTATCCTACAAGAAGGTTTTTATTGGAGGAAAACAAATGTAAATGGCTTTGTCTGAGAACACTTTCTACGTTACTAGCAATCACCCTGGTATTTGAGTGAAGAGCCCTGGGTGACAGGACTTAGTTTCCAAGAAGAAAAATGTTCTTTACCACACCAGAATTCCATACCACATCACAGGTACTCACTCCTTAGATGCACAAATTGACCAAGCCCAGGATATTTATTTTAGTCCCCATGCTTTTTCATTTGCCAGGAGCCTCCACCAATGGAGTTAGGCATGTGTGAGTTGTTGAATAACTACTTATTAAATATTGCCATTATGTGAAGTGGCCAAGAATACAAAGTTTAAAAAATAGTTTATGATTCTAGTTTATTAAGTAAAACTACACACACACACACACACACACACACACACACACGCACACACGTACGCACACATTCACGATTCGATATGATATATGAAATGGCAAAAGTTTGAGCAAGATATAGAACTAGTGCAAAGGAGGGAATGACTTTGGGATGGCATGGCAGGGAGTAGGGAGTAACTAAGTTGAGCATTTTTTGTTGTTATAAAGATATGGGATACCAAGTTGAACTTTGAAAGACGTGTAGGTGTTAACTTGGTGAACTAGGGGATGGGGATGAACATTCCAGGCAGAAATAGCAACATGCAAAGGTAATCTCACTTTGTCAGATTTACAATCGAATGAAGATTCTGTGTCCAAGATCAAAGACCCTAGACAACTGTTCTAAATTTTACCAACCTCCTCCTGGAGACTTACAAACTCACTCAATCAGGTGGTAGAATGTACTAGTCTAGAAGTCATGAGAGCATGGAGTCCTAGTCCTTTGTCTGCCACTGAACAGATGATTACCTGTGGACAAGTTTTTGAACAGGATTAGAGAGGTTTATCAGTAAAGCAGGGATAAACACCTGTGTCTGTAGACCTCATGGAAAGAGGATAGAAAGACTTCAAAAAATGAGAATATAAAAAGATGCCAGTAAAAAAAGCTGAATCCATAGAGATGAAGTAGTTTTCTTAAGGAAAAATTCAAACATACACAAAAGCAGAATAGCTAGGGCACCTCCATTTACCCATTACTGAGCTTCAACAGTTAGTGTATAGCAATAAATCTTGCGTCATTTATCGCTCCCACCTACCCACTGTATTTTATTTTGAAGCATATCCCAGATATCATAGTATATTACCCATAAATAGTTCAGTATACATAAAGCTGAAATTAGTAAAGTGCTACACTTGAACCCAAATATATATAATCCACCAAACAAACAACAGTGTGTTAGTGCTTTTAAACTTTAAAAGCTTCTTCGCTTGATCCCACAACTTCTGCTTTAAAAATCTATGGTCTCAAAAACAGATGAGTTCCACAAACCACCTATCAAAGAGCAGAATATTTTATTTAAAGACTCCCCAGTGTAGGTTCCAAGCTATTATTTCTCCTCCACTCAATGTAAAAAGCTCTGGCTCCTTTAACATCCCTTCATCCAATTGTACCTTCTTTACCTTCATCTGCTCGTTTGGTCACTATCACAAGTGCCCTGATGATCTTTGGGTCCCAGATCACAATTGTTCCTCCAGCCCCAGATGACCCAATCACCATCCTGGCTCATCATTGCTTGTCCTCTCTATCTCCATTGACCTCCATATCCACTGCACTTCAGCCCACTGTGCCCATAGCCAATTCAAAGCTGGTAGTTACATGGCACTGTTCCACTGCAAATGTTATATCCACTGACACCCTACTCTTGGCCACAGTCACCCATTCTCCCAGTTCTCCTACTCTGATTTTACCTGCACTTTGACTTCAGAAAA